CCCGCCCCCCCCCGCCCCCCGGCCCGCCAGCGCCAGCTCCGCGCCGATGCTCACGGCTAGACTCGGCGGAGACCCTCCTCCGCCTTTAGTGGTGCGAGATGTATGCCCGGCCTCATCTCCCTCTGATTTAGGGGAGGCAAAAAAAAATCTCGTGCTCTCAAGACCCAGCCTGCCAAGCAGCCAAAGGCTCAGACAACAGTCACAGCCCCGTCTCCAGCCCTGCTGCTTCTCAGCAAGGGGGAAGGCGACAGTAACAAGAGCCTTGCATGGCCCAACTCGCTGTTCCCACGCATGGTGGCATCCAGAAGTTTAGCAGATTTTTTTCCACCCTGATCTGCTGATATGTCGTCAGCATTTCTGCTTCTTCCTCCCACCGAGGAGCGCCCACCTGGCACTGTCCGAGCAACGTTCTCTGCGACAGCCGAGCTAAGCAAGGCCCATCGCACCGAGAGGGAGCCCCCGGATGCTAAAGCAGCGAGATCTCGGCTGCCACATCAGCCCCTTCGTGGGAGAAGGGCACGCAGATTTTAGCGCTCATACAAGCACGTGGGAGATGGTCGGTCAAGTCCCTTCGGCCCCAGAGCAGACCACGTCTCTGCTCCACTGACCCACTTAGGGCCGGTGCTTGCTGGGTGAGTGTTTGCCTTCTGCCCATCGGAGGAGAAGTGTTACACCCGCACCAGCCCCGGGGCTTGAACCCAAGAGCAACCGAGCAGAATGGACTCTGGCCAAAGGAGGTTTGATAACCCAGGTCCAGGGTGTTGCACGAAGCAATACCGAGGGCACATAATAGCTTCTTGAAAGCCAGGTAATCTTTTCCCTGACCTTCATGCTAGGTTAACAGGTTAAAGTTTAACCATTTCTGCTTCAGCCCCTGATTACCTGACCCCCTCTAGAATGCATGCAATGCCTCAAAGCCTTTATGCAGCAAGTCAGCCTGGTCCTGCCCTCCCAAATTCCCTGTTGACTCACTCCATTCATCGCCCCGCCACCAAAGCTTGACATCTAGCCCAGCCCAGCGCCCCCCCCTGTTTTGGGGTCAGCAGCTGTATGTACCCTTTTTGCCCGCTGACCAAAATGCTATTGCGCATACACTACAGAGCCTGCTCTCAGAGCGCGACTCCACTGTCTGCGAACAGAGGCAATGGCTCCGGGCTGCCCACACGGGAAGCCTTAAGAGATGCCACCGGCTGTAGCCAGCAAGGAGAGCGCTGGCAAACGCCTTTGCCTGTGAACTTGGCAATTAGCATTAGTGGCCTCTGAGGCAGAAGGGAGTCACAGCTCCAGCTCCAAGCAGGATGGTGCACTGTTAGAGCCCCAGGGCTCTCCTTACCGAGTGCTCCTCACCACCGGGCCAGTTGCCCGACATAACGCTTCTCAGCGAGGAGAAGCCCCAGTTAGGGTCCACATCTCATGCCAAGGAGACTGAGCAGGCCACGCTATCCACCTGCCAAGCCCTGCCAGGGAAACCAATCCCTAGGCTGTCCCTGGGGAAAGGACGGGAAACATAGAAGCAGCTTTGTTCCAAAACATCTCCCACCTAACGAGGCGGATTGCAGAGGATCCCGCTTCAGGGTCTGACACCTCTGCAGCAGGTATCCGTCCGGACCCTGCACCCTTCCTCTCCCTCACTGATGCCCTCAAGAAGGATCTCCTGCGGGAGACAGCCCCAAGAAATCCTGCTGCTGGATCCTGGAGAACTCGACAGTACTTTCCAAGGCAAAAAGCTTTAATTAAAAGTTTTGGGGGCAGAACAGGTATTTTCAGCAGCTACTGAAAAATACATTAAGTTACAACCCCAGGCAACACTTTAAAAGTTGTTCCAGATTGCAAGCGTGGCATTTCACGTTCCATGAAATATGGATTACAACCCACAACGGAAGAGACCAGGGTTCTCCCCTTACTGGGGATCAAAGAGGCTTTGCTACTTCAGAATACTGCAGGTGCTGTCTTCCCCTTGACACCACACAAGCCCAGGAATACATTTCTGACACTGCAAGCAAGTCCCACAGGAGGTCCGGGTTTCTATTTGACTTGGCTGCAGTCCAAGGCTTGGGAACTAGGCTGGAAGAAAATAGGCCAGATGCTGCAATGCAAACAGGTGCAGGAGCCAGCTTGCACCACCACGGCACATGTTACTGCATCTTCAAAGCAGCAGACGCAGCAAGAAAAGCCAGCAACTCTCTCCCCACCTGCCCGCTGTTTCAAAGGCACACCAGTTTTCCAGCTGCTGGGAAGGGCACTCAGCAGAAGCACCCACCGGAAGGCGCGAGCGTTAGTTCACCTAGAGGATTTCTAACCAGAAACCAAGTGGAGATTTTCTGACAATGAGCATTCATAGAAGCCCCCCAAAATCCAGCACCTGACAGAGTCTGGTCTTCCCTGTAATCAGCTAAGTGATTACACACGCTTGGCTTTGAGCTAAGTCCAGGTAGGGCGGACTTCAAGGAAAAAGAAAACTCGGCAATAAAACAAGATGGTTCAACATGTAGTGCATCTGACAGAGGCAGTTTCTGATTAGCCAGAGGCAAAAACACACACACGGAGCGGTTCCAACCTCACAGCTTCAGCCAGTAGCGTTGGCTCTGCGCGCAGCCCAGGAGAGGGGTAACCGGAGGAGGCAGTAGTACCTGCTCTCACACCTCAGTATTTAGGAAGTGAAAGCCACTTAGAGAACAAGCAAATAACAACCCAGCTCAGGATAAGCCTGAAGATTAAACAGGTCCGGAAATGCTGAGTGGTGCAAGAACAAATTCGTGGGAAGAGGAGAGATTTGTGGTTAAGCCTCCTGTTTCTACATGGCCAGTTCTGCGTGGTACCAGTTAGCTGAGCCTTTGACTATCTTTGGCATTTATTGAAGAGTCATTGCCTTACACACTTAATTCACATTATCATAGGCTAATGCTACCAGGCAAACAAGTCCCTGTCCTAAGGGGCTTGCACAGATAAGCAAGTTTGCTGCAGTTCAAAGATTCTCTATACGAGCTTTGTTAGCGGCAGAAAAGCCGAGCCAAGTCTTCTCACCCATCCCCAGGGGAGGGATCGTTCTAGGTCAGTGGGTGGGAGCTGTGTTTCAAGGCCCCGATTATTCAGGGAAATAGCAGCGTCTTCAGAATCAGATAGGCTAATGGAAGTGGCAGATCTGAGTTAATTAAGAGCTGTGGTGTTACACAAGAAAACCTCTCGGATTTACAGTTGCTTTCCTTGACATGCCTTTGTGGCATGTTAGCAATTCGCCTCGCACCCACCTTTTCTGCTCAGACTCCTGAGCCTGGTTGGGCCAGTTACACTAGTTGCAGGTGGACCCTTATTGCTCACCCCTACCATCTCATGAGGGTGAGAGAGCGAGTGCCTTTCATGGGTCCTATCCTGCACCACAGGGTGCTAAGGACTGAACAGGGATAGGGAAATCACATGCAAGTTTGTCCTTTGAACGTCTGCTGATTTCTAAAGGACAGGACTGTTCAGGAACAGCAGTAGCCCCCTTTCCTGGGTGGGGGGGCTACGCTCCCCCACCTCTCCCCACACACTCCCAGAGCGTTGAACGCCCGTGCTCAGGGTTGAGCTGCGCATTGCACACAGAGGCACCTGCTTCACACAGGCCGAGACGTTTGATTCAGAGAGTCACGATTTCAACCAGACGCTCCGGGCACTCGAAGGGGCTCGGCTGTGCTTGCACGCCGCACACCGCTGCGGAGAGCCAACACGTAAAACCATCCAAAACCCAGGGCAAGAGGAAGGGAAAAGTCCTTGACGCTCAAGTGCCGTGTTTGCTCTGCACCGCCGGATACGTGCAAA